CCAGTCATCACATGGGCAGTGGCATCTCCTGCCCCTCCTCCTGAACTCAAGCATGGTCTGAACCAGACCAAGGAAAAGGTAAATAAGCCAGTGACAATGGCCAAGAGGAGGAGCGACTCCCAGGGGCTTATTTCAAGGGAGACCCTATGAGGCTGTCATGCTTGACAATGCTGGTTTCCAATGCTGGCCCTGAACATACCTCAGTGCCCGCTCAGTGGGGGCAACTACTTATTTTCCTGTGTACCATCCCAGCAGCTACTTTTCCTCTGCTTTTAATTTGTTCATATTGCAGGTTTTGAATTGCTTTTATTGGGTTAATGTTTTACACCATTGTACCTTGTAAATTTACATACAAGGTGGTATATAAATATTAAGAGTGGTAATAATGATGACAATACCTTTTCTGAGGTGAGAAAGGGAGTCCAGTCATACAGGAACACTGTGTATACATCGCTGAAAAGATCTGGCTCAAGATTAAGTGATAGTCTTTTTTGCTTCACTGCTCTAAATACAAGAATTTTGCTGGTGATAGTTCAGGGCACCTCCATTCAAAGTTAAGCATATTTTAAAGTGCCACTGATTTTCTCTGAGGGTATTATATATGTGCTTAAAGCTGTCCCACAAATCACTGAGGCTTACAAATGATTAACATTGGCTGGACTATGGCAAGCCCCAGAATTGGTTGTATCAAGTGTTATGAAATATTATTGTAATTTAATAGTATCCTCTAAAGGCTTAATAATGAAATGTTAACTGCTATAAAATTAAGTATGTGAAACCTATTGCTTTAAAGTCATAAAAATGTGCATTTCTAGGCGATTTCATTGCACCACTGATCTTAAATAGCACATTGCACAGGTAATTTAAAAAAAATAAAAGTAACACCATACCTGCAAAGTTTCCTTCGCAGACAGTGACAATGGATTATTTGGTTAAATATGATGCACACAGTACTCCTAAACTCACTTACTAGGTGTCAGACACAATGGGACTTACTTCTGAGTAACTGTGGAGAGGTTTGTAGTGTTGGCCATCCTGAGACTGTGGACCATGAACTAACCTCTTTCTCACGTTGGATCCACATGATGATGCTGGGCTACGGCTTGGCTTCCTGAGCAGCAATTTGAACATTGATCCACATGCCATGTGCACTGTAAACAGAGCCATGAGAAAACAGAGCAGAGCCAGGTTGGAAAGCTTCCTCTGGAATGGCACATCTTAAAAGCAAATGGACAACCAGTCTGCACAGAATGCTCACAGAGATGCCAGGAGCATGAGCATCCCTCCTGTTCAACCCAAAACAGGAGTGGTTGTCGGATCTGTACTGGCTAAGATCAGGAATGAACACTGAGGAAATCTTTCTTTCTTGCTCTTGAGGGCCACATGATCTCAAGCCTAGTCTGTTCAGAATGTACTGATTGTGAACATGACCCAGGCTGGTGATAGATCCTTTTTTATAAAGAAGTGTTCTCTGAAAGAATAGCCTATCCATGACTAGTTTAAAAATTAAGAGCCCTAAGAAGAGAAACGAGAAGCCTCAAAGTTGTCCATCCACAGTTCGTACCTGGGCAGTAGACTAAATGGAGTTCACCTGCTCATGGTCTTTTATGCTGAGGTGTACTGTATTCCTATTTAAGTTAAAAGGTTTTGTTCTGTATTGACAATTATATATAGGGACTAGCATACATAACTTTATAAATGCAAATTAGCATTTGCTAATTTGTTGCAAATCTGTGTCCTCTTCTGGCCTCTTTTGGTGATGCACAAACAGCCATCCTAACAGTGTCTGAGCCAATACTGGGCAAACCCATCATCCCCTCATATTCTCCCTTTTTAAAGCAAGTAGGGATTGTGTCTTGGAAATATTGAAACGGGACCACAGGTTTCTGGACCAAATGGGTCTTCCTTTTCATTATTAGAGCTGGGATTCTGAAGCTACTAAAAGTTATAAAGAATTCTCTTACATTGTCTATTGCTAAATCAGACCCTGAATTGATTTCAAATCTACATCACCAGCAACAAGATCTAATAATAATTTCAGATGGTGCTTAGCCCAAGAGACAGAGCCCAGATGAGGGAGGGGGCCCATGCAGGGAAACAGACAAAGCACAACTTCACAAGGTCTCAGCACTAAACTCTTTGTGTGAGCGGGCACTCTTGCTTCTTTTGCTATCTCTAGCCTGTTTGGTAACACAAAATTAAGCATGTTCTCCTTTTCCTTAGGCTGTGTTACTGGAGCTTGTAATCCAAACGAACCAGCTCCTCTATGATAAAATCTAAATGCTCCAAGACAGTTTGAACTATCTGGCTAGTGAACACACAACATTCCTCCAGCAACTCCACAGTTCTGTATGGCAGTCTCTGTTCAGCAGTAAAAGTATTAGTTTTACTAGCTTTATCCTTCTTTTTAAGTCCAGAGACTGTTTGCTCAGCTATTCTTGTGCAGGAAGAATTGAGACAGTTCTGTAAGGGGATTTCAGCTTCTTTGGGAAGCAAGACATAATTATCCATGCCATTCTGATTAAGCATTGCTGGCTCTGAATCCCTTTCCTTAGCAGGGTACCTGTGTATTTTCACCCCTTGTATTCTCAGTTCCCACAATGAAGTCCAAACAAACTACGCTCAGAAAAGCAGTTCTTCATAATAGAGAACTACAAATAGATAGTGGATTGTTGCTGTTGTTTTGGTACTTTCTAAGAAGCCAAAGGGACCTCCAGGACACTGGAGAAGGAGCTCAGGAATTCCAAACCAATGCTGCTGCTCACATTGCCATGTTTGGGGAAGGGCCTGGAAAACTCCCAAAGCCATCTCCTCCCCTCAGCGTTCTCCCTGTTTCTTTCTTTCTGACACCTCTTTCTTCCTCCCTGCACTGAGTAGGCTGCTGGGAGCAGTATGGATTGTTCATGCTCAAGGTTTAAACTGATGGTTTGCAGAGGGCTTTTGAAATGAAATGAAGCTGGAGGCTATAAGAAATTAAGCCAAGGTTTGCATGCCTTTCCAGCTCTGCCACTTGCTCACCTCTGGACTATGTATTCAGATGAAGTGTGCAATCCAAATGGGATGTCCATAAGCCTCTGAACTCAGGACTGTGCGCATCCTATACAAGGTGGGAAGAGTGTGGAGGCAGTCTTCATCTCCGTGCTTCTCCTATCCTTCTTGTCAAGTAGATGGCCAGTTTCTACAGTTATGTGGCAGTGAAGAGAAGCAGGGAAGGATGCTGGGGCACCGCCAGGATGCTTTGAATTCTGGTGGCTCTTGCCCCTTCCCTCTCCACTGCCTGGAATGCCCCCCTTGCCTCTTCTCCAAAGTTGCATTTTTGATCTCAGAGAAGCAAGGGGGGTCCCTGGTCCTAGCTCAGAGCTCTTTTCTGATCTCAGGTCTAGCAATCTGAGGAAATGCTCTGCTCATCGCTTTGTGGTTCTTCAATAGGTAATATTAGGTGGTAAGTTCTAAGCTATCCCTGGGTTGGGATGTAGTCACTAGATGCACAAGCAGCACAGTGGCCATTTAGAAGGAGTGGTGACAGTGGGAAATGGTGACAGGGAGATGCTGATGGAAGGGAAAAAATGATAAAGGAGGAAGGCAGAGGTGGCAGAAAGGACTGCATCTAGCAGGGAAATACCTTTGTTCGATTATCCATGAGGAAAGCTATTAAAAATGTTAGTGAGCCTTTCGTCAGAATCTAAGCAACTTATCATTTGTGACAAGGGCAAGCTAACCTAATCTCAGTATGGTTAAATGGTTGAGCAGTTGGAACTAACTGTCCCACATTACAAAAGGCTGCTTAGCAGACACAGAGATGGAAACAAAGGGAAGACTGATCTTGGTCCCTGATATCCCATTATATGTTTCCTGGCAAGCCAGCCACCCTTTGTTCACCCTCCAACATTCATTTATCCAAAGCACGTGCAGCAGCATGCCAATAGCCTTTTATCCCTGCAACATTGTTGTTTCCAGCTTTGAACAAACAACATATTGGTAAATAAATATGTGTGAGAAAATGCAGGGGGAAGTAGAAGGTTTTCGCTCCTAACACATACATTTCTATTGTTATGGTTTGATTTCTTTAGTAACTGAACTATACAACTATGAACTTCATAACTATAACTTTAATAATGGACTTTTATATGGCTCCTGTGTATATCACCCCAAGATTTGTTTTCTGATTTTGAGAGCTGTATACACTCACTCTGACTCTTATCACTGTCCATTAAAAAAAAAAACCATATCCCACAAGAGAGTGAGAATAGGCATATAGAAAAGAGGCATACACGCTTCCAAATGGGTCCTCAGAAGGGTTCAAGCTCAGATATACTCAAAAGGAAGGTTTCTGGAAGTAGTTGTTTAGGCTGGGTTCAAAAAACCGCTCTACGTGTGCTCAGAGATACATTTTGTGGTGGCTGCATTTATCGAGTATCCTTTAGTGAATAATGAGCTTTGAATGTGCAAAGGGAGAAAAACTCGGCAAAAGGCACATATTTAGAGAATTACATTTAGATACTAGGAGGAAAATTAATTAGAAAATTTTGGGGTGTCATGTGTGGATAGATCCATTAGCTCCGATACCAGCTTCCTCCAATGTGCAAGGCCATCTCAAGGTATTTTGGTGCCTTAGTGAAATACAATTTCCCCCCTCCATACACAGAAACACCACTGCTCTTAGTTTCTGAACAACATAAAACAGGCTCATGGGTGGAGTGGGGGGATACCATGAGTCCCTTGGATATGTATTTCTTCTGTTTTTAATGTCTCTAATACTTCATGCAAGGATGTTGCTGTGTGCTCTAAAGATTTGGGATATGGAGCCATAGGCTTGCTGGAAGATTAAAAAAATAGGAAAATCTTATCAGTGCAGCTATTCTTTTATGCATGTGCACACATATGCACAGTGTTTAAGAAACAACTTTTACAAAAATTATTCCATGAAAACAAGGATATTGTCTTGATTGGTAATGGATAAATAAGATCTAATGGTATGTTGTTTTTTTTCCAATTCCCAGTAGGGCCAGAAAGGACATATTGCATCAGGAAGAATCTGCAATGGATAAAAAAAGCAATGGTTTCTTCTTACTGGTTATTCTACTAATTGTAAGTAAAAACTAAACCCCCAACAGCAGTAGCAAAGGTACTTCGATAATGTATTATAAAAAAACAAAAGATGCGTTTGAAGATCAAGCTACACATGAGAGGGTGAAGCTCTGCCTTTGGGTACAGGGTTAGTTTTCACAGACTGTCAATGCAGCACACTCAGTCTGGGGTAGGACCATATTGTGGATGCCAAAAAGACCATATTGTAGGACCATATTGCGTCTTTTGCCCTCTGCCATGGTCCTGGTCTAGATGCCTGAGCTTTACTTTGGCAAGAAAGGTCTCCTTGAAATGAAGATGACTTTTGGGGTATTGCAAATTATAAGTGTGTAGGTGATACAGACCAAATCAGGACTGCACTAAGGGCACAAAAAGCTAACACTCCCTTATTGCACACCTACTAGGGTCCCAACTGGTGAAAAACAGCCCTGCACTTAAGCATAAAACTGAATTGCATGTGTAGGTATCAATCACTGGGGTCGAATTTGGGGGTCATTCCACAGAATATTGTATTTTATTTAGTTATTTCATTTATATTCCACCTTCTTCCATCATGGAAATAAAGCCTGCCCATGTAGGATTCCTTGGTCCTCTCCTATCTCGAAAATGAACGGACCCAAAGCTTCAGTAATAGGTCCATCTCATACCTTCAGACTATCCCCTGAAAGGCCATACCAGTGGACCAGAGAGACCCTTTTCTCTGCTTGAGGTACATCTGATCTGGTAATGCACTGGTATGTCTTGATGACAGAGATCAGTGCTGCTTCTCCATTACTGGTAGAACTGGGATATGGTCCTGGCACTGCCACAAGACCAACATTTTCATCTTAGATCTGGGCTTGGCCACCTGCTAATGTGAACTGCAGTATTTAAGTGGAATAAGGACACATACAAATCTGGAAAAGTGTCTTCTTTAAGCCCTTTCTCAAGATAAGACATGCTTAAAAGCTATTGTATTTTAATGGAAAGTCCTTGTGAACTTTCAGGTTTATTTTCTCAGGTAGTCTTGGATAAGACACAAAGTCATGTTCTGCTTAAAACTGGCAGTACACAACTAGAGAAAGAATAATCCACTGAACATTGGATCTGAGATAAATGCCACTTATCTGTTACAGTCACTTACAAAAGGTCATTCATACTTGGAAGGTGCTGCTTGTTATATGTGGATAAATTGTCAGAAACTTATATTAAAAATATTTTCAGTCATACAGCACTAAAACTGTTGTCCTGCTTTTTGTTTTCTGTTTTAAATTAACAAAGTTAAAAGGACATGCAAATTTGTAGAATTGGGTGAATTACAGTACAGGTTCCATTGCATTCATCAAGGATTAGTCTCTAGTTAACTCTCTTTAAGGATTGCAATGCGCTAGTTGGATCCAAGGCCTGTCTTCTGTGAGTTGAAGAAAACTTACTTGAGAGGAAAGGCTATGCTTGAAAAAGGTTCCTCTGCCGAATTTTTGGTGATCCTCAATACATCAGGGTTCTCATGACTCTTGCATTTCCAAGGGCTGAAGCCACCACTGTGGAATGGAGCAGGTGGGGAAGTCCTGTTACTCCAGGGTTGATTCAGCCTAAGTCTGGATCCAACCCACATGTTTTGTGCAGCATTTATAATAGAGCAGTATTTATAGATGCCTGTTTTTTTAGCTGCATCACTTCAGCTTTTAACTGTTACTGTTTTAGGCTTCTCTAATACAACAGCAATATCCTTCAAACATCTTCTCAATAGATTTATGTTTTCATGTTTGATGAGGCTGCAGAATTTTGAACAATGCTTACATTTTTATTCATGTGTGGGGAAAACATTTTAAAATGGAAGGGTCCCTTTGTAATTGTTCATCTCAGAGCTGAGCTACATATTCCAGTCAAACAGGGTTTGATGTCCCTGTTGCAGTTTTTTTAATATACCCTTAGCTGAAGCATTTTTTACTTCTCACCAAGTTACTCCCAGGCACTATGGAGTGAAATTCCCCACTTCCGGTGGCTGCTGGAAGGAAAATTCATGGCTTGATAGACAGGACTCATTTACTTCGTGGTGCTAAACATCACAGTGGGTGGGGCAGAGGTGATTAGAGATAGATAAGATGTACCAACTTAAACTTTATTTGAGATTTGCATTTTATTTGACATTCAAAGATTTTCTGCTTTATTATATTTCATTAAGATTTGACGGGAAATTGTACCTGATATGGCATTTTGCTTTAAAGGTCACAAAAATGTAATATTCAATATTCACTTGGTAGTATTGATGGAAGTGCCTTTTGCTCATCCTAGGAAGCTTTTTGGGGAATGTTTTTGCATTCCGTTCTCATCACGCAGTGCCGTGGTCATAGAGACTGTGACGTTTTTCTGTTAATTGGTTGTTAGCTGTGAATTATTTAAGAGTGTCCAATAGTGAGTCTCAGTATTAATGAAGATAGAATTTGCTTCTATATAGACTTTGTTAACATCTTTTAGGTATAAAGGGGTTGGCATCATTCAAAGAAATCTGCTCTTTCCTCCCGTAGTAAAAAACAAAACAAAAAACACAACCTTGATAACAGCCATTTAATGCGTGATGGCTTGGTGGTCGTATGTATGACGTCATTTACTTGTACTTTTAGGAGTGACATCATATGTACGGCTGCTAAACTGCCACATAGGACATCAGTTAATCAGTTATCTTCAGATGGAATATTACTGACCCCTTTCATCACATAGCAAACACCCCGGTTGCTAAGTTTGAAGCATTCATTGCTATAGAATAAAGAATTCTTATCTGTATGCTCAAGTTATACTCACTTCCCTACACATGGTAACATTATTTTTCCCATTTCAAATACTACCCCAGCAGTAATTGTTTCCAGGCATAATCATTTACTGTGAAAATTAAGTTTATGTATGATGTTGTATCCAATGTGTTCTTCCAAAGGACTGTGTAGACAGATCCACATGCTCAGGGAGCTTTCAGTTTGTCTTTCTCAAACTCAGCTCCCAGCACTAATTCATGACAAACTTCTTTGGAAATTGAGGATCTTTCAAAAAGATTTGTGTTAAGAAATGGATGTTTGCTATTTAAAAAGTTTTCAAAAATCCATTGTGCATGCCATCTTAAACTGAGCAATTCTGAATGGACCTTTTCAGTTGAGATGCCTGAATGTTGTATTACTCTTCCCAAAGGAAACTGCTTGATTCCAGGTTTGATATCTGGAATGATCAGTTAAATTGTACAAAATTGTATCCATCCTGAAAGGGTGGTATGTTGGTGTGTGTGTGTTTGTGTGTGTGTGTGTGTGCGTGCGCACGTGTGTTCAAATAATAATGTTTGTATTCATTACAGCAACAATGACATTTTCTGATTTTTGTACTTTTTCCTATATAAATGTCACTTTTGTGGTTACGTGTAATGTAGAAAATGCACTGTAAGTAAAATAAGAATAATTCTTAAAATTACAAAGTCAAGGCACAGTTTTAGAATTGCACCCTGGATTTTGATGATATAGCTAAGGGACAGCATGGTCATCTGGGAAGCTGCATCTGTTTGTGGCAGGTATTGTTTTTTCTCCTGCTTCCCTCTCAATCCTGAAATCCTTGCTCCCCACAGGGTAGTTGCTGGTAGAAAGCCCTATGGGGGACACTCCTCCTGGTGCAAGCTCTGTGGCAGCCTTTCCCCACCTCCCTCATCATTAGGGTGGACTATAACTCCATTTATGCTACTAGTATACGCTATCTTTCTCAGAGAGCTCCAAAGGTTTAGTACATGTAAGAGAGGCTTTTCAGATGCAGTTCCTCCCATTTTGTAATACACTTTCCAGGGAAGACAACCTGGGTCTAAGCTGGAGGTTTTCTGGTGCTAAAGACCTTGGGCTGAATCACATGCAGCAAAGCACCAAATACAGACATCCCTGTGCATTCTTCCCAAGGTAACTCCTCCAGCCTCTTGAAAATCTGTACTGAGGGCTGCTGAAATCAGGAGATATGGTGCAGGGAGAAATGAGGACACTCCTGCCCCAAAAATAAAAATTTGTCAGAGGCTTCTTCCCTGAATGGAACCCTTCCATCCACAGAAGACATACTCTGGATCCAACTCTTCTTATTTGCCAATGAATTTTCTATATTGAGTTTTAAGGGCCACTTTAATTTCGCACATATAGTGTGCAACCTGCTAATCTGTTTTATTTTGGTATTTGTGTGTATTATTGTGATGATTAAAAATATACACTTGTCTGGGAGGGTGATTCCTGATGGAGTGCACTGAAAAATGTGTGATTGAGTAAAATCTGTTCAAAAAATGTTATAGATGATAGCCAAAGCCACTTGTAACCTACATATTTTTCACTAGGTTTCAAATTATTTTAAATGCTGGATGAAAAAGTAGGAATGCAACAGTATTATTCCAGTTTTCAACCTCCAAGAATTTATCCTGGTAGCCTGATTGTATTGAGAAAGAACAGTGGGCCCACAGTGGATAGGGTACATACTTTACATAAGGAAGATCCCAGTTTTGATCCCTGTTATCTCCAGGAAAGAATGAAAAAGGCTGAAATTCTGGAGAGTTGCTGCCAGTACAATCTTGCCCATTAGGATTAATTCTTAACCATTTCCATCCTCTGCTTGAAACTGCCTGAACCAAACTTCTGCTGGCTTTCAAATCCAGTCAACTGGGGCAACCCTACAGTAGGGGAGAGCTGTCCCTGCTGAACTGTGCCTGCTGTCCAGTCTCAAAATGCTCTCATCTCCTTATATAGTTTTGGTGTTAGCCGAGTGAGGTCTCTGTCTTGAGCATGGCATATGAGGTGGGGGAGACCTGTTCCCAAGGGGCATTTTGCTCAATACAGTACACAATTATGTTGCATTACTGCTGGAACTCTTTGTAAGCAAATTCCTTGACTTCTGGACCATCTATTTGTCATTCGGGAGATTTAGATTCTCACAGTGGGTCATTTTTCCTTTCCTTCCCAAAAGAGTGTGATGCTAAGGGGTGGCTCTCAAACAAATCCAATCAATCCATCTATCAATGCTGTTTGACATAGTAAAAAAAATGGTGTTGGAACCAGCTTTGATCATCTGCAAGCATAATGAATTTTCCCTCCCACTCCTGCAGGCTCTTGTCCCCATAACCCCATTGTGCCCATTGTCTCTGCAGGACAAACAAGGAGTGGGAAGCAGCTTTGGGTGCCAAGAGGGGCTATGCAGGAGGGGGGAAAGAGGATGGATAACTCCCTTTGCATGAGGGGAAGCCCACTTCTGTGACCGTTGCATCCACTCCACAGGAACAAGCGGCAACACCTGAATGCACCCATTCACAGGTGTGCTCACCCAGTGGGTTTGTGTGGCAAGGTAACATCCACAGTTCATGGCAGCTAATCAGTCTCCATTCATAAAAAAAGAACAAAGGATTGTGCAGAAGTTGCACAGCATCTGACTGAAATGAATGGCTATTCTTGCCACACCAGTGTCATGGGGACTGTTTGAACAAGGAAATACAACAGAAACTCTTGTAGGTCATCAAACAAGCTGTCCTTTGTGAGGTCATGTTCAAGCCTATATTTTGCCTGTTCAAAAGAAGTCTACCATAAAGGGGAAAGCACTATACATTTTTGCTAACAAAACATCACATCTTGGGACTTGAAATATATGAGCCAAAGCAAAGTAAGAATGAAGTAAGAATGACTCTTTTTTTATTATATTTGCCCGGTTTTACTCACATACATTAACAGATTTTCCTCTTTGCACAGAGAATGGCTCCAAGTCTTTCTTCTACTGTAAGTTATACTGACCCCACATTAGAGCCCATAGCAACTGAACATTCAGCAATACACCAGAAGATCGTAGATTCACAATTCAAGTGCTATGAAAGGATGAACAGAGCTCCACCTTACAATAAACAAGGTAAAGAGAGAGAAAAAGAAGACTACAACTTAATGCATTTCTGAAATGTTATAAAGAAAAATTGAGGGGGGATGCCACTGTGAGTAATCAGTTACAACACGAGAATTGGTCATATCAGCTGTTTGGTGATTAATGCAAGGCTGCAGTTCTTTAGAAAGAACTTTCTAAAAAGTCAAGTTTTACAATAGCTGAATTATAACATGTGTGAGCAATAAAACATCTTAGTGTGCCATTGTGCACATGTTTAGATGGAAAAAGCTCCTTCAGCTTCCAAGATGGTTGGCTGGGGAATACTGCAAATTGTCAGAGTTTTTTTTCTGTCTAAACATGCTTAGAATGCCCCCCTTAGTTTGAAAATGAGTTGAATATATAAGGTGGGGAAATACTTCTTTCAAACCAGGTTGTAGATTTGTCTGCTTGTCCTTGCTTGTACCCTGGCTTTTTAAATCTGAAATGGCCACCCTTTGCTCAGTCACTTTTTACAGAATTCAGAATCTACCAGATCACTGCATTCCAAAGCTTTTGGTGTTGCCATGAGTGGTTTTCAGACCCAAGTTGTAGCAGGGTTTTGTGTTTGACTTTTTCCTTTTGCAAAATAAAGGAAAACACACAATTACAGCAGCAGCCTGTTGCATGTGAACAGGAATTAAAGCACTGTGCTTTTAATTGAAATTTTGTTCTGTATAGATTTTACCACTTACTGCTACTTAGTGCAGGGTTAGGGTTAGGGATTAGTGATGCATATCTACTTAGTTGTCCCTTAATTATCAAACATCTGTTCCCCACTGGGTTTATGTATGTGGTTTGATAGCTTCCTTCCTTCCTTCTCCCTCGTTTCTTTCTTGTGTTTTGAAGTAGTGGTATTTTACTACCAAAGGAAGAAAAGAAGCCAATCACGAAATAAAACCAGTCAATAAGGCAGCCTTCTTCTGCAGGACCCTGGCACCAATTAGTCATCTGAAAAGGAAGCAGCTAAAAAAATAGGAGCTGCCCCAACCTACATTAGGGTGCAGTGGCTGCCCTCACTGGAGTCTCGATCATGCAGTAGAGAGGTGTAAAGTATCAGACTGTGAGGTCTCACTTCCCGCACCAAAATGTCTTTGGTTTCTAACTGATTGCAGAAAAGCAATGCCTCGGCTTTGCAGAAAGGCATCCATCAGTTGCCCTGAACCCATCAGTAAAATGATTAACAGTGGTGGTGTTATCCAACACACAGTTGGCACGCTGAGTTCTGGCACACGAAGTTCTGGAAACAATCACACACAAGCTCCACAGATAGTCTGTGCTTATTGCATAGAAAGAAAAGTGGATGCCTCAGAAGGCAAGCCAAGACTGGAACAGTCCCCCACCCCCCACCCCCCGGCCTAGTGGTATTTTTTAACCACCTGTGCAGTTGTACTGCCTTTACTCTTGAATACCACAGACAGTCTTACTGCCGCCCATCCCACTTTATTTGTAGAAGAATCACTTTCCTACAAGTAAATGCCATGGATGTGTGGAACTTCTTTCTGTGGAATATGTTTCAAGTAGAGGTGCTGGCATCACACGGCAGGAAAGTCACTTAGAGCAGGAAGTCGATGCCCACGTATAACTCTTCATCAGAAACTCATGGCATTCTGGCTATCGTAAAAAGTAAGCTTAACAAACGGTCTTAAAAAGCACCCTTTGGGGGACATATTAACATTAAAGATGTGCAGCAGCAGGCGTTTGCATCTTTCTATAAATGTTTTTCTTCTGCTGCCCCCTGGGGAAATGTTTGGCACATTCATCCAAAACCTGAAATAGTGTCCTTTCACAAGGGGAGGCTTTTGTCTGTTACCTTGAAAAATCTCTCTATACTAGCCACTATAAAACATTGCAGTCAAAACTGCAGTGGGGAACAGAACTGAAAAGCACATTGGACCAAAAAAATTATTTTAATGTGGCCAAATTACTGGGGATATGAATAAGCAGCCTGGAGATCTGTACCCAGAATAAGATTATATAGAAAGAAAATTGGCTTACTCTTTTTCATTAAAAAAAGAATAAAGTGTGCAAAGAGAGTTTGTTTATTTCCCCAAGTAAAAGATTTTGTATAGTCTATTGAAAGGCACAAATGTTTTTTATTGCACAAAATGACAAATGTTTTTAGCATGGAAAAGAAACCTCCTACATAACTGACCCTGCCGTCTTTCAGAAATGTGTTTTAGTTGTATTTGAGTTCCCCTTTTAATCTTTTCCAGTGACTCTATGAAGAGATTCTTTCAGCTCATGCAAAATGCATCACAAAGCAGGGAGAAAATTATGTATTCCTTACAAAGAAATACAATTTTCTAGGAAAGGGTGTAGTTAGATCCTGCACCACAATGTTGTTATGATTTATTAGCAGAGTGATTTTATTACCACAGTGTTTCTAGGAGAAGAACATGTGCATGCAACATGCATGCACATATGGAGAAAACTACTTGGAAAAAGGAAAATTTAACAAATCTGAAAGTCTTTAGAAGATAACAATTATGATGTATTTTTGTAACAATCACTTTTAAAAAGAGCTATCTTGGAATGTTTGCTTGTCTAAAATCAAAAAGTTTAGTCTTCTCACTGAACAATTGTCAGCACTCTGGTTCAACAACCTTTGTCATCTCTTAAAATCTATGAACACCTATTAATCTGATGGCTTCTGTGCAAAATGCTTATTATCCACGTGTATAAGATTAAAAGTTTTGCTGGCTCAGTTCAAGCCCAACCATCAGAACCAATGGATATTTTTTCACATTTGTCAATGCCAAGGATTAGCTTTAGAGGGTAATCCTAAAAACAAGTTATTTTCATGTGACTCAGGTTCAGATCCACATTCAATTGCCCAGTTGATTGGATGAGCTTGCCCAAATATAAACTATTATACCCACAGTGGTGTTGTGAAATAAAATGAGGTTCCTTCCATTGCAGGGTTAGGGTACCCTTTGGGCAAGACACCTTCAACAGGTCCCCACGTGGCTTTTGCTGTGAGTTGTTGCCAATCTTCCCATTCCCCATTACTGCAATCACCTGTTTCCCTGCCCAGTGAACAAAGAGGCTGCCCGGTCCTTCCTCACCGCTCTGTTGTTTGCTTGCTAATGCACCTCTGGCCTATAGTAAGAGATGGATGGACAAGCAGATTGCCATGGTGACGCAGAGGGAACAGGTCCAAGGGGCCCTTCTCAGCCAGAGGCATACTGAACTGTGGTCCTTTGGCAGGTGCTCAACCCTGCGACCTTTTGACAACAGACCAGACTGGTAAACCCCACATAAGCCATTCTAATCTCCTTGAAGAAAGGCAGGGTATGATGTAAGTAGTAACAGTAAGTAATCTAGTACTTCCTATTTTTAAAATAGTAGCATTACCAACCCATTCTGTGAATCGTAACAATTCACAAAGTGAAAAAGCAGAGGCATGGTCAGAGCAGGAAAAGAAGTTCAGTGAGATTTTCCTAAAGAAATAAAGTTGTGTTTCTTCTGAATTTCTAGGGCTGTTTTGTAAGCGGACGTGGGATGGATGGCTATGCTGGGATGACACACCTGCTGGAGAATTCGCTGACCAAAATTGCCCTGATTATTTTCCAGACTTTGATCCAACTGGTAGAGTGCTTTTTTATCTTTAGAAAATGCATTTAGGGTTTGGAAATGAAAGGAAACTCTATTATCTATTTAAAATTGTAGAGGTGGTTGTAACTTTGAAAAAAGAACAGATTGAATAGCATGTGCAGATAGCATTTTTGAGTTGCTTCACCACCAACTGAATACAAGAACTGTCTTTATAGCATATTATCATTTGACTTATCCATGTGCTCCTTGAAGCCAGTATAATGGAATGGTTTTGTTTGTTTTAATATGAACCTGCTTTTATAATCATTCCATTTTTAAGTGCCATGAACTGAATAGCAGCTGCTAAAGTATGTTCATTTCTGTAAAAAGAATATTGTTATTCCTTGGGATGCGCTCCTATATTTTATGGTCCAAGACAGGTTATAAAGTTCCTGGAAAAACAGGCACCCAAAAAGCCAGCAAACAAAACAAAACCCACTTTATTAAGCCACAGAGGGCCCACTGCCCATTATTGTTCCTTGAATTATTCATAGAAATACATGTAGCCCAAAAGATACATTGTGTGTTTTAAACCACTTTTGTTGTCAGGCAGCAAAGAAATGGCTGAACATAAATTAACCACAGTAGGTCAAGTTTCAACAACATGCCAAGCAATGCTTTATCAAAGACGGAAACAAAATCTTCCAAAGCTTTGTTGTGGTCAGGCTCAAGAGGAGAAGGGGTATGCTAACAAATTTCACTGCATTTCATTCTTGTTATGCTAAACCATGATTTAACATGAGGTCTCATCCAACTCATTCTGCATTAATAGCCTACTTTACATTGACCCAGGTTGTTGTTTTTTAAACCCTGGGTTACTGCGAATGAAGCAAGAATGAGATGGTATGCCAGTGCCTGCTGCTTAATTACTCCTGCTTGTGCTAAACAATCCAGAAGCACTCTGAATTGTTAATCATGATGTGAGGACCAGGAAGTTGTTGGGAAATGGACAACCCAACAAGCTAGAATTTTCACTCCCCACAATCTAGAATTCTCAGTTTTCACATCACAATTAAGTGATGTGTAATTAAGCAAGCATCCCTGGGTTGTCTTACTCCTGCCTTTGAAGCAGAACCAGTGCACTTATTCACTGTTACTTCATTTGCAACAATCCAGGCTTTTTAAAAAGGCTTCTGTTATTGTGATGCTCAGATCAGACCATGATAGTTAAACACCTACGCCAGATCTTTCCCCACAGAATAGCATTGACTGAGCATAAAGCAAATCTATCTTTATCTCCTTAATTTATCTTTATGTAAAGAAAGATGTTCAGAATTTTTCTTCTTTTCACTTCACTATTTCTTTATAGCAGGGTATAGAATGTGCAGCCCTGAAGGTGTTTTGGGACTGCTTTCAATCATTCCTAGCCTGCATAGCCAACAACATCTGGAAAGCCACATGCTTCCCACCTCTGCTTTAAATTTATTGATAGGTGAGATTCTGCATACAAGTTCCCTGCCACACACACTCAAGGTCTGACATGTTTAAGTATTTATGGATGACTTTGAATTTCATCTACAGTAATCAATATCCACTCCTCCCTCCCTCACACACACACACACACCTCTGTTTCCTCTGCTCCTCAGTATTTTTATCCAGTTAGCACTGTCCATGTACCTTTCAGTCCTACTCATTAACTTTTGTTTCAGTCAGACAGGCTTCTCTGCTGTTCAATTTATCAATGTTCACAGGCCCACATCACAGCTGCTGGGCAAGTTAGCATGTTGCTAGAGATGGACTTCACAGGTGACCGATCTGCACTGGGAGATTTAATCAAAAGTGGGGCAAATCTGGGGATCCTGTGGTGACTGCAGACTGGCACCTGCTAATAGAAGTGGTTGCCTGTAAGAGGTGGCAGAAAGAGCCAGTTTCACGCTACTGAAGAAATGTGTTAGGTACTGATGTGCAGATAATTGTCTTCGGCTCCAATTTGTTACTGTTAAATAAAAAAGGCATACATGCTCTTTGTTGGATGTTTCTATGGTTTCCTCCTTTTCATAACTAGACATATTATTATCAGAGCTACCTTCACTTCAGGCATGGCTTGCAGAGGCAGTGTAATATATTAATGAAATCTAGGGGCACTTTTTACACTGAATATTGACACAGGTCTTGTATTTTGCCATGGTACTTTCTTGACCTGATGCCAGAGGAATGATGGTGTTGTGTGATGAATGATTGCCTTTCTGGATTGATGTGATGAATTCAACCATACCTACTTATCAGGGCATATTTGATACATCTGTCAATTTTGCTGCCTGCCTGCAATCCTTCCTTCCTTCCTTCCTTCCTTCCTTCCTTCCTTCCTTCCTTCATTTATTTATTTATTTGGGGAATCTATACATGGCACAGAATGGGTTCTGAGTCAGCACTGGTTTGGATAGCCAAGGGCTCCTTTCATTCAGCTGGAAGCCACCTCTCTGGCTTTCTTTCTTTTTCTTTTTCTTTCCTAGCACTGAGTAGCTTTACTCTGTCAAGAACATGCAGCCTTAAGCAGAATGAAATCTGTCTTTATTTGCCCCTTTTTTAAGTACTGTTGTTGTCTGACATATGGTGACCCTACGAAGGAAAGCCCTCTAGAATGTCCTGCCTTTGACAGCTCTGAGCAGTAGCAAAAATGTGCATTTATTGGTGTGTCCCCTAGAAAGCATGAAAAGTAGTCACAATATGCACCCTAGAATATTTGTCTGGGAACCTCAGCAGGGTTCTTAAATACAAAAGCTAAACAAACAGTCATCAGGACTTTCTGAAATATCCTGCAATCTGTGCAGATATTCATGTTTATGGAAACTTTTGTCTTCAACACTTAAAATATTGCTGGCATATGGATTAAAAGATGGTCTTTTGGTTGGCAGATTGCAAACACCAGTTTCTTGTTTTGAGATACTTAAAAGTCAGAATTCTTCTACACAGAATTATCTGGCATATGGAGATACAGCTGATTTCCTGACCTTAGTATAGGCAGTCAGCACAAGTGGATGCTTATATCACTGTGAGAGGATAAGAGATTTTCTGGTATTTCTTCCGGTTTAAAGGGTTGTTTCCAACTGTGCCCATCCATCTACCAGGAGACATAGTAAGCTGTCTTACATTGACTCAGACCACTGATCCATCTTCCCAATACGGAGTGGCATGGGCTATCCAGAGCTTCAGATTCCGGAGATCAAGGTTGGGTCCTTCTGCATGCAGAGAAGGAAGAATGGCCCTCCCTGAACTGTATCTGCTCACACAACATTGGATGAAGCCCAAGGGGACTCTGACTCTCTCTCTCTCTCTCTCTCTCTCTCTCTCTCTCTCTCTCTCTCTCTCTCCATCTCTGTCTCTCTTTTTCTGGTGGAATGAAGCACCAGTGGCATCTTTTCCACACCTTTTCCTCACTTCATCTGTAGTTCCAAGATTCAGCACATTTTGGCATGCAGGAGATGCTAGGTTCAATTCCCTAGTTTGATTAGTGGTTTGCTCATCTGTTTTTTTGTAAGGGATTCCTGTCTCAAACACCCCTGTCTGAAACCTTGGTGAATGGCTGGCAGTTAGAATAGACTACAGATGTGTGAAGTGTTTCTGTTCATTTCTGATCAAGATTTAGCCAGTTTGCCTCTTCTGAATGGACACTGCCTGGGATGCAATCTGTGGTTAAGGTCTGCATTTTTCTGAACTTGTAGTATGATTTGCAAACAAACCAACAAAATGTACTTGACAGTGTGCATACCCCTGCAAAATGCATGCAAATATGCTTTAATCCATAAAAGAATAATGTATATATTTCAAAGATGTGCACAACATTTTAAAAATATGTGCATGAAAAGAAGGAAAAGAACAATGTTCACAATTTGATACAGACTTGAGTCAGGAAGTGTTCTGAGGTGGAAATTGGTGAACTGCAGCAAGTTCCAGGGTTGATAATTTACCCACCAGCAACACTGGAGTAGATCATATGGGGCTAGAGGGAGAGATGGTCTGACTCAGTATGACTCAGCTTCTTATGTCTGGAGCCGAGGGTCACACTAGATGGCCCAGGAGACCCTTCTGACTCACTTTGTTTATTTGTTCCATTTAATGTCTATTCATTGCCACACAGATTGGCAATTGCCTTTAAAATATTGTTTGTTTTCTTAATAACAAGATTTCTCATGAGTTCTTGGTTCTTCTGTCTCAGATTTCATTCTATTTCATTTATAACTTTTCTATACCATCCAATAGCTGAAGCTCACTGGGCAGTTTACAAAGTTTAAACCCTTTAAAATATGTTATACAAAACATGCACATGCAAACATAAAACACAGAAAGAAAGATGCATGTATCCAAAACACAAACAAACAAGAAGAGGAAAATGGATAATTTTCCGACATCATTTTTAATTCTTATTTTAGTATTAACAGTGGGTGGTGAACCTACTTTGGCAATAGCAGGTAAAGTTCAGCACAATGCATAGCTCCTTTGAAGTCCAAACTAAAACCAAGAGTGGATATGCTGCCCCACGGACATTGGAACTAGCAACCTTCCTGGGTATTTACAGTGAGGATTTATATGAAAGTCAGTGAGATGTGGGGAGAGCCAGGGTGTCAGACCAGGGACCCAGAAGATCCAGGTTTTAATGTCTGCTTGGCCATGAAGTTCACTGGGTGTCCTGGGCTCTGTCACTCACTCTCAGCCAAACCTACCCCACAGAGTTGTGGTTGTAAGGATAACTTGAAATGGAGGAGGCTTGTAAGCTGCCTTGTGTTCCTTACAAGAGGGGGAAAGGCGTGATCTAAATGCAAAGTAAACACCAACATAATATGATTATTACTAGTACTGTGGGCTTCTCCATGTATTACAGGCATTGTGTGCAGCAGTACATGTATTGATGCAGTCATTTCTTCCCATTTAGAAGCCTCCATCTCTGGCATTAAGCAATTGAAAATAAAATGGAATGGAACAAATGTGAATCCCCTTACATTTGGATGAGGGAAACCCAAACCCAAATGTGTTTGAACTTTTTCAGAGTGAGCCCG